AGCCTTCGCTTCCATATACACACGGGGGCTCTTTTTGTTTTTTTCTTTCTTTCCTTCCACTCCATGCGTACGTCATTCTGAAAGTTTTTTTTTTTATATCTTCCTCTTTGGAGGGATATCACGCGGTGTGTCAATTAATTTATCGCATTTTAATTCTGCTCGTGCCAGTGTCTCTTTTGGCATGTACAAACTGGCCCCTGGACGATTATACGTTTCGCGTGCCGGTATCACCTGTGCGGCTGTGAGCTTTACTCGATTGTAATTGACGTTGGGTGAGTCGCACCGCGATTCTTTTATCTTCCCCCCAAACTGTTGAGAATATATACATATGAGCTTGGTTTTTTTACCCGAGTCGTTCGAATAACGTCTATTTTGGCTCATTATGTTTGTATACCCTTTCTTGGTGCTAATCTTTCGTTCTCTCGGCCGGCGACACGTTGTACAGATCGCTCGAGATGACAATTACATGAATCCGGATGAATATTCCTCCTCCTAAAAGTACAAAATTAATGATAATCGATGAAAATTATGGATCTCCCGGTGAATATATACCTTACCGATCGCGCTGACGCAATTTTTCAGCCTCTCCGTCACGCGGTATACCGCGTCTGTAAAACTTCATCGCCAACTGTCTATACATATTACTGCTACTGCTGCTATAGCTACTCTCTCTTCCTCTGTGAATGACGCAAATGATTCGTTACTTTTTTTTTTTTTTCATTGAGATACATATCAGGTCACTACGCTACATCTATAGTGGCACGGTGTATCTACCATACAGCTATACGACTCCATTTGGATGCCATCGAATTGACGAACGGTATATAGGTGTATATGTATACTCGTCGCACCTTATAGTTAAGTAACACTCCAATTTGCTAATCCATCTGCTACACAAAGCAACCCCGAGCACAGAGGAGACAATATGTCACGTGTTAAATTTTCTCTTGAAATAATATAATAAATTCCATTTCCGAGTCACCGGAATGTTAATCTTAACCAAGATTTACACCTCGTACACAAATGAACAACGAAAATACGTAATCGATGGAAGGGAAAAAGCGCAGGAATAAGGTATAGCCCAGGATTGGGAAAGTTGATACAAATTAAGAGGAAATTAACAACAGCGTTATTAATAATATAAGGACAGAAGAAAAGAAAAGAGCGTCCCTACCTTTTTATTATATAGAAACCTAGCTATTTCCTTTCAGCTTTTCATCTGGACAGTGAAGATATACATGTACGAGGGGGTTAATTAAGCGCCGACGTGATGGCTGGCACGTAGCGATTCTCGAGATCAAATACACGCTTGTATATCTGTAGAGCAGAGAAATACGCGGAGAGGAACTTTATGTACACATATGTATGCTTGATGCACATATTACTTCAATATACATGTATGTGCCATTATGTGACAAAATGTATGTAGCGAACAAGAGAGACGGAGAGAGAAAGCTCTGCGGACCCAGCGTCACTTGATTTGCAAGACGTCATTTAGATGTATGTGCACGATTATTTCTGCACACAATTACTACATTTAACTCGGTAAATCTAAACCGCAATGGGACGTATTGGGGCATTTTTCCTTTTTCATTATATCGATATATGCGTATGTGCTGAACGGCCTCGTTAATTTTGCAACCAAAAGTGTAGATTCGCTCAAGTGACGTGAACAAAGAAAGAATCAACCCCTTTATTATGTTTATACAAATATAGTGATGACATCATTTACTCATTCGTTACTCTTTCAAAAATTGTTCATTTTCATGTAGTATACGATGTTTCATTGTAATCTATGATAATTCATGGTCTTGATGACATAGCTTGGATACAAAACGATCCTGGCTTTTTTAATGGCAAGTCGCGGGATATAACGACTTAACCATTAATGGATTTAAGTGCCGTGTATTGTCCATTTATACAATAGCCGTACCACCTATGCGGTACAATTATTTTATTTCTCCAAACATGTAGATGCAGTTACCATACGTATAGTCATCGAAATTTGAGGCTTATAATTATTATTTATTATTAATAATACTATAACCCGTCACTTTTGCTGTATTATAAAAAATTCAATGTCGATAAGCTAAACCCTACATTCTCCTTTCGCGGTACAAGTATATTCGCTAATTAAATCCGGTAATAATTAGTCCGGTCAAATAAGGGTCGGTCGGGGGCACGCTGAACAGATTCCAACTGTTCGATAAAAGAGGGAAAATACGGGGCGGGAGGACAAGGGGATCCTATCTCGCCGGCAGTGACTCTTGGGGTGGAAAATTTTATCGCCATGTGAAACCAGTGATTCTCTCATCATTTTCCTATTATTCGCTTTGTAAAGAATTTTGAAGTGTGTTGTGAGGAAATCCATTAAAAAAAAATCCCGTTTTTGTACCCCAATTTAATAGAAAAATTTTTTTTCGAAGCACACCTTCCAGATAGGGCTCATTTTACTCGTAGTGTCATGTACTATGAGGAAAACATTTTAAACACGGGTTTCAGTGAGGGTGAAAATTTTAAAAACGGGATATTTTTTGTGATTTTTCTCATACAACACCACCTGCATGGGGAAAAACATGGCGGTTTTTTTTACTCGCGATCACGGTCACCTTTTTTCAGTTTCAGTGTCAAGTTAATGCTTTTGATCCAAAAAATTGACTTTTTCCAACTCTAGCCGTAAAAAAAATTACATCGGAAGCTTTCGAGGACATGTGGTTTTTTCAAGAAGGGCCTGAATCGTTTGGATCGCTTTGCTAACTCGAACTAGCAACGCCGTTAAAGCTAGAGGTAAGTAATAACTTTTAAAAAATAAATGTGTTTTTATCCGAAGAATCGTTCGATGTTGAAATATCCAGTCTCGCTTCATTTTCAGTTGCGTTTCAATTTCATTCGTATTTTCATTATATTAATCAGATTCTGAATGATATCGACCGCTCATGTCGGCTCATCTGCACTAATGCACGGAATGATGCACATAACGAAATATCTAATTCCTGAAAGAGCTTGTCTCGTTTAAACAGATAAAAGAATGGGGCACATGGTATCTTTCGAACGCAATGGAACGCACTGAAATTTGAAGCCGAGTCACGTGTATACTCTTAATTCACAACCGATGATGAGTTAAAATACAAACAGTGATATCGAATCATCAGCTCATACATCTTTAAATACTAGTACAGGACGTTTTCCAACGTTGTAAGACAAAAGTTGTCACTACGTTTTAAAAACATGTTGAAGAAGAAAAAAACGCGAAAAATGAATGCCTTTGAGCTTATTTCTGATATAATTTTCCACCCGTATTGCAAAAGAAATTGAAAAGAAATTAACGCGAAAGTATACCTACTTGGCCGTCCAGAAGTGATATTCAAGTATTTTTTAGCCGTACTACAACATTTTTGCAGCCTACCTATATTCGAACGTAACGTTCCATCAACATTTTTACAAGGCTGCGTGGTATTGGTGTATAACAAAAGTTTTCTCCCTGGATATTCCCCAAACTCGATAGGAGGACCACACGCGCGTGAATGTAGGTTTTCCCGTATGACCGATGGTGCGGCGCATCAGCGTCTCTGCGCGATGACGCGCCACACGCGCTTCGAGGAAACACTTAGTCAGGAGCAAAGGCAAAAAATACCGTGTAACAACCAACCCCTCCCCCATGGCATCGAAAGCAGACGGCAAACGAACTTTGAAAAAAAAAAAAGAGAGGAGAGAAAAGAGTGTAAGGACAAACAAACAAAAAAAAAAAAAAAAAAAGGAATAATAATAAATCGCGAGGGAGAGAGAGTTGCAACCGCGGCGGCGGCCGTTTGATGCGTTTCATTTGGCACTTGAGTACTTGTAAGGGTACCGGTCTATTTCAGGATATCACCGGTTTTGCTCTCTGCCTTCGGCGTATATGTGTGTGCATGTTCTACATATCATATATACACACACGTACGTACGTTTATGCTATGCACGAGTGCAAAGGGTTCGACTAATGTATACAGCTGCAGTGTACGTATCTCTATCTAAGGTTAGTAAGTATACGTTATGTAATATAAAAAGAAAAGTTAGTACGTACAAGTAATTCCAATTATGTTTGGGATAGTTCCCCCCTTCTCTGTTCAAAACAACCTATATATGGTAGTGACTATTTATACTTTCTATCTCATTATGTACCACATATTTGCGTTTACATATGCTAGGGGGTTATTGCTCCAATGGCTGAACTACCGAATGGACGATTAAATATTAATTTACGTGAACTTGAAATTCATTGATTCATTAAATGATTTATCTTTTACCAAGTGGAAAATCGTAAAACTTGTAAGACTTGTGTCATGTTTATATGTATATCATCTATAATAACATTGACAAGGATGAACTAAAGTGATGACACGCGAAAAACATGAAATTAAATGTTATTTTCCGCCCTCGGGTGGTTTTGGGAGGCTGGTACTTCCTCGGGCGAAAAAGCAGTTTTCCGATACTCGTTCGAAAAGTCTCCTTTTCCGCCCTCGGGTAGTTTTGGGATGCTGGTACTTCCTCGGGCGAAAAAGCAGTTTTCCGATACTCGTTCGAAAAGTCTCCTTTACGAACCTCGTTACGTCCCTCGCCTTCAGCTCGGGCCGCAAACCTCTCGGTTCGCAAACAGAGACTTTTCAAACTCGTAGGAAAACTACTATTTAACTCTAATGAATTGAAATTTTTTTTTTTCTAATTATTCGTGACGGAAATCGAAAATTATAAGATATCCCGCTACTACGAGTGTTTCTACCTAATGGATAATATAACGACCTACACTGCAACTGTCGGTAACATGTGTATCGATCGAGAACGACACTGTGGCGTGTCAATAATACAGGCATCAACATTGTCGACTGATGAAAAGTAAGATGTAGAGCTTGTTGCAAAACAAAGCGAATTGCCTACTTTGCCGGCACTCTGCGCGAATTGATTAGTGGTGACATCTACAGCACATCCAGAAAATACAAGTGTGCGATAGCTGTTTGTTTGGACGTCTGCTAACTTAGTAAATAGAAAAGCTCAAACGGAGCTTCTTTTGTTACGATGTCGAAGTTAATCGGACTTGACAAACTAGCTAATTTTTGGAAAGTCGTTAAACAAAATGGTGGACCCATCGGCTGCGTCAAGATGTTATTCAGGTTTGCATTTAATTCAGACTATATATCGTTTAACTTTACTGTTGCGTACTAAATTCGAGACAGTGAGGTTAGACCATTGTTATGAAACGATTGCATATCTCTCAAACGTTGATGTTGTCTGTTGTTTTGATGTAACTGTATAGAACCGATGAACTGAAGTTTGGCGATCTAATTGGTGAGGACAAATTCGGGAACAAGTACTACGAGAACAACTACTACTTTTACGGCAAGCAATCCAACACTCGACATCTGTGAACGTTTCACTTGTTTGCTAGCTTATTAGCTTATTTAATCCACAGGACGCAACAGATGGGTGATTTACAGTCCAAAAGTTGGCTTAAACTATGATGCTTCCCAAGTTCCAGCTGAATGGTTTGGATGGCTGCACTACAAGACGGACCTCCCCCCGCACAAAGATCCAAACAGGCCCAAGTACAAGTGGATGGCCGAGCACACTCCTAATTTGTCGGGAACGAACAAGGCATACATGCCCTATTCCACTACAAAGCCAAAAATCGAGGCCTGGCAGCCACCAGAGCCATGAATGTTTATCGTATGTGAGATTCAGTGATGTAGGTATCTTGTACAGTTATTTATTTCCTTTGGTCAAATAAATTAACAACACTTTCAACGATCCTGTAGAAAAGTATAAATATATATTCTATATTACACATATTAAGTTAAGAGAAACACACGATTGTACATGAAAATCATGTTGAAAAGCAGTGAAATAAATATATCTTAGAGATTCAACGTTTAAATAAAATACGCATGTAAATTCACACGTTCGGTTAACTTTGCTAGAACCACCACAAAATTATATTTTCCGTGAAAAATTATCGCCCATCGTTCTTCACTTTACCATCGAAATGACCCAAAACCCAGCTGTAAATTTGTTTTCCAGCCAACCCTGCAAACACATCAATTTCAACCGAGTGTCCCAAGCACTTGGGGATGAAAAAAAAAGCCCGAGCCCTCACATCCCTAATCAGATCCAGTAATCCATGGCAATTAAATTATTACGAGGGGCACACGCGTGGCCTCGCTCTGAATCATCCAAGTCGAGCACAAAATTTCGCGCAAAGTGCGGATAATACCTAAAGAGACGCGAGAAGGAGTGCAAGGAGCTAATTGAACGCATACGTTATCCCCTCGCGTGTGCATCAGGAGAAGAAGATGTGTGTGGGGGGGGGGGGGGAAGTGGTGGTCTGGGCGAAGAAACCCAGAATGCCAGCGTGGAGATGAAAGTCGCGCGCAATCGTTCTTCGGTACCTACAATGTAGCCAAGCAAAATTTCTCTCTCCCCCATAGCTATATATATATATATTCCTCTGGGACACGAGCAAGTACCCACATAAATATACGTGGTATGTGTGTGTTGTACCTACACGTGCGCGTTAACGCAAACTTATTGGGGTACTCAGCGGAACGAAAACCGCCGCTAAGTGCGCCGAGCGAATTTTCCCTTTAGGTGCTTTTTCTCCTTATTAAATTAGATCACAGCTAGGAGTTTTGACTTGGTTCACGTCGGCCGTGGTTTCGTAGGGCGGGAGGGCGTCAGCCGAGCAAACTGATTTAACGTGCGTTACACGCGTCGTCCAGTGTCTGACTGGCTAAGAGAGCTGTTTTTCACGCGCACGGGGCTTGCGGGAAAGTCGACGCGACGTTAATTCATCGCCACGTCGCCGAGAAGACGAGAACAGCCCGTGGATGGAAGGGGCAGGGATGCCTCGAGGTTTCTCTCATGTGTTTTTACACAAACGCATCAGGAGATCGGGGAGTTTTTTTTTCAGCTTGGAAGCTTGTGTGGTTGTTACATAAAATGCTGGCTCCTTGAAAATGTCAAAAAACCTGATTATTGATCAAAAGAGATGGTTAAACTAGATATTCGCGTGATAGAGGAAAAAAAAAAATTGTCTCTCAGAGTTGCGGTAGATGGGAAACGCAAAAATGTCCCTACCCTCTAGGCTGTTTAAATTGAATTCAGGACCAAGTACTTGAAGCAGAGATCGTACGTATGAGGGGTGCAACACTTATATTCCCTGTAACCCAACGAAGTTGTCGCGCACGAAAACAAAAACGCAGCGGTGTACCAGATGAATTGCCGGACGAACCGATGAAAAAAAAGCGTTGATATAAGCGCATAAATCAGCGTCGATCGCGAGATGATGAGCGACGTGTGTATATGTATATTTTATACTCGCAGCAGGTTACTCTCGAGAGCAAAAGTTCGGGGGGCGGTGGGACCCATGTCACCGAAAAACAGGGACACCGCAAACGAGGAGTAGGTTGCACGTTGTTTGTATACCTCGGTTGTACCCATTATAAGTAAAGGGGAGTCGAGCACGCGAACAAGGGGGCGAACGAGAGATCGAGGCGTGTTCGGGCGATAAATCAAGCTTAATACGGTGTGTATATATATACAGTGTAAAAGCGGAACACGCCCGCGTGTGAGCTGTGCACAGGACCTCTTGATACCGATTTTCTAATCGGCATCTCGAAAAACGCGCTCTCCGACAGGCACGCGCTGACGCGTGCGGGACCCCCTTTTTTTTTTTTTTTTTTGTATTCATCCAGCCGCGATCGGAGGGCGATCTTCTTTATTTTACAGTGGCCGGCGCCGGCTGTATTAAACACCGGTCGTGTCATCTTGCCGCCGACAATTGACCCGGGACCATCACCATTTCGTACACGCGCTCAATTACAAGGGGCCGAGGGGGAAAAGATCGACGCGCCCCCGAGAATTAAGAAACAGTCGTAAACACGCGCGCGCATTTGTGCTCTTTACGAGCTTGTATACACAATCCACACCTACACCAAGAGCTGGTGCAGCGATTTCAGACGAGTGCGCGTATGTAAGTACACATATATCTATATGTATAGTAGCAAGTACAGCGTGATTAATATTACGAGAGTTTGCGCAACTCGTAATAAAGTTAGCTTTTCCCTTTTCCATAAACCGGCAGCTGAAACGGAAGTGCGCGAGGGGGTGGGTGGGCGTCCAGCGCAGGTATATAGGTGTATACACGCTCCCTCAGCCACTTGGCCAGCCCCCGTTACTTAACTCTCTCTCTATACTACACGGTACGATCGGTATAGAGTAATGAAACAAGAGTGCGAACACGAGCTCCTATTTTTTTCTTCTTCTTCTCCTTTCCCTATATACTTGGCGCGGCAATATCGACGCTGCGAGTAATTTATCGGGCCGAGAGAGGCGTTAATGCAGCCGGTGTGTGTATACGTAAGGTGGCCCCCGGCTCGGCTCTAAATCAATGAAAAATATATCCTAATTGGAATATGAAAAAAGTTGGCCCCCCGGCCAGACTCTGCAGCACGGGGTTGGGGGGGGGGGCGAACGGAAATCAAATTACCCATGCGCCCGGCCCTATTTACCCACATATATATATGTACGATGATGTAAAAAGAAGAGACGGAGCAGCAAAACTTTTCAATCATACAAACTAAGTATATATACACGTGTTGCGTTGCGTCGCGAGTAAATCGATCGAGCCGCGCTCCATGTTTATACATCCAACAACAAGAGCGATAAAGAGCGCGACGAAGGGTGTACCTACATGCCTCCCCCCAATAAGCAAAGACTCTGCCACGCGACATTTGTTTTTTTTTTTTTTTTATTTTGGCGGATGAGGCGTGAGCATCGGCGAGATTTAGAGCCCCCCCCCCCCTCTGTATATGTCTATCTCTCGACGCGGCTTTTAACCACTCGGGACCCCCCCATCGCGGCAGATACGGTTATAGGTGTGTGCGTGTGCACGGGTAGAGGCGATACCATGCAGAGGTTGATTTATATCCGCAAGTGATGCACGAAGGAGGAGTGTAACACCATTGTCCCGCTCGAGGCGCCGTATACGAGAGCAGCGAGAGAGAGAGAGAGAGAGCAAATCCGATGCGATATGGCGTAGGGAGGAGGAGGAGGAGACGCTTGTATTCTTGGGAGAGGAGCTTAATCATAACGGGCCTGTTAGGTCGAACAAGCGCCCGGGAGATACAGAGCCGCATAAGATGGAAGGGTCGTCGCCGCCGTTGATGATGGCGTGTCGGGATTGTTTCTCCCTCCTTTTCCTTTTGCGGCGCGCCATCCCTTTTATACATACGTATGTATGTATGTATATGGCTCTTCAATCTCTCAACCAACCCCCTTCCTTTCCTCCGCATCGTCCCTTGGACTCGAGCGAGCAAAGGGCCCTTTATTAAAATTTATCTACCGTTTGGTAAATTCATGCCCTGTGTCGAGCTTTCGGCTTGTGTGTGTGTGTGTATACTTGTGTATTGTTATTATCACGAGGGACTAGCTCCTTATATGTATGTACTCGGGTTGCAAAATTACAAGGATGATCTGCAGTGGCTCCTTGTTAATACTCTCGTATCTCTTGTCGCTCCGGCTTCCTCGGTGTATCTGTGCACATCTTTTTTTACAAATTTTGACGCCCAAGAAGGAGAGAGAGGAAAGGCCTCCGTATCCTTGTTCCTCTTCTGGGTGCAGCTTGGATGATTGTTCCAACCGATGATGTTGTTCTTGAGGAGGGGACGAAAAGAAAAAAAAAAACCAAGGAAAAATAAAGGATGAGGATAGCAATGTGTATAGGTAATTGATAAAATGTGCAGAGAAAGGATATGATGGTTGAGCCCAAACGAGAGGACGAGCAAAATTGTATTAATATACCCGTGGGCCATCGCTCGAATTAACAAATTCATCGGGTAATGGCTGTGGGGGGGGGGGTAGGGGGCTTTTCGAAAGATGATACGGAGAGTAAATAGCACGGAATCGGAGAAAGGAAGAAAAAAAAAAAAATTATATCGCACGCATATAGCAGGGGATGATGAAAGTGGGAAGGGGGGAGAAGGAAGCTCCGAGCATTGTCAGTGCGGCTGATTGGGGCAACGGAGAAGGAGAGAGGAGCGAATCGCCGGCAAAGTGGCCGGGAAGAGAGGACCCCCGATTTTTCCAATCCAGGAAAGATTTAATCAAGAGCACCAGCACCGGGAGAGAGAGAGAGAGAGAAATCAATCGAGCATGAGAGAATATCGGCTATGGTGTACGTATGTGTGCATGTATAGAGTGGCTTTTCAGGAGCTCGGCGAAAAAGTCATCGTGGCAGAAGGCCATAGGGGTGGATGAGGGCAAAGTGCGGAAAGGAGCTAACTCGGTGAATGTGTCTGTATATATATGGATGTTGCTTGCGCTAATGGAGCCAAAGGATGTGGGGATGAACCCGCGCCACTCTACATGTATACAGAGATACGGTGGTGTGGCATCGAATCGAATTAGAGAATGAGTGAAAACACAAATCAACTGTTCATTTTAATTGTATTGACCATTTATTCGAATTTCTTTTCTGATACCGATTTTCTAATCGGCATCTCGAAAAACGCGCTCTCCGACAGGCACGCGCTGACGCGTGCGGGACCCCCTTTTTTTTTTTTTTTTTTTTTNGTATGTATAGTACACAAGCAATTGTCGCAGTTGATTCAATAACACATATGTATAATTTTTACAATACTTTTTTATATATACAAGAACGAGTACGCTAGTACAGTTTTACACTCGTTTTTTATGTTATTTTTTTTTATTTTTTTGTATTCCTTTTTTCCTTCATTTTTCTTTTCCTCTCACATTCTTTCGCACAATCATACATATATATATATACGCTTGCTTACTATATGCTACATATCATCGTGACGTGTATATAATATATGTACAGCGATTTTACTTTGTCAATGTTTCTGAGGGGCAAAACTTTTCATACTTTATTTGCTCACGTGTTTTCATAACACATAACAAGCCAGTCCGCAAATGTTACTACAATCTCATAACGCGCCGCGTAATAATAAATATATATATATATATGTGCTCTGCTTTAAGTACGTATACGAGTCGTGAACAATATAAATTAACGATAAAATTAAAAAAAAAAAAAAAAAG